TCCCCCAGGCCCAGTCCTGACCCACCTCCATCCCCCCCCAGGCCCAGTCCTGACCCACCTCCATCCCCCCCCAGACCCAGTTCCTGACCCACTGCCATCACCCCCTCCCCACCTTGCTGCCAGCAGGGAGTTTGGAACCAGTGAGGCCTCCCCAGGTGGCTGGAACCTGGCTCCCATCCGCGACAGGAGGAAGGCTTATTCCTGGGGTTGAAGCAGGACGTTGGGTCACCCTGGCATTGGCCCTAGAGCCAGACCCTCCTTCAAGCTAAAGGCAGGGTGGCCACCGGCCCTCCTGAGGGGCTGGAAGACCCAGAACTCGGGCCTTTACTTCCACACGGGGCAAGTCCTGTGCCAGGAAAACCAGTAAAGTCCATCACCTTCGCTCCTCAACCCGGACTCAGTTTTGTGGAAGGAGGGACAGTGCGATGGCCTAGAGACAGCGGGTCTGCATGGTCCCTCCTCTCTCCTGCCATCTACACGGTGGACCCCACACGGTCCCCCCTTCCGCCGTCCCTCCCTCAGGCAACCCAGTGCGTGAGGCCGTGGGAGACTCCAGGAGCTGAGCCAGGATCCCGGGGTGAGCGCAGGGTGCACCCGACGCACCAGCAAGATCCCCAACAACACTTCTGCGCCTCGGCTCCGGGGCAGTCGGTACCCAAGCTGGAGGACCTTGTAACCCCGGTAACTCGAAACCGTATGCACCATTTTTATCTTTTTTTCAAATAAAACCTAGTCGTTTTCTTAAAACTGGAATGCGTGTGCTAACAGCCTGCTTTTGCCAAGCGCACGCAGACTCCATGCAATCAGGTTATTGGGGCCCTTCATCACCCCGTGCCCCAGCCAGAGGCCCAAGCCCTGGGGGGGACTCTGTGGAGCCCCCTAACTGCGGGACAGGCCGGTCTGCAGCTTGAGCCCCCGGCCTCGCGCCCCCACCCCCCACGGTTCTGCATCTGCTCCAGCAGAGGGGCCCTCCCGTCGCTGTCGACACTCGCAATGTGGCCTCCGGGTCGGAGGAACTGAATCCGACCTTCCCTGCGTTCTGATCCAGGTGCGTCCAGGTCAGCCTCGGCCACTGCGTGGGCAGAGGGACGCACGCAGCGCCCTGAAGACAGAGAGGGTCCCAGGCCTGGGCTCCCCGCCCTCAGAGCCCTGGTGCAGGGGACCAGCCGCGGGGACCACGGAGATACGCTCCTGCTTCACTCTCTAGGACCCGGCAGGTGGCCCCTGGTAAAAGACGCAACCACAACTATTACATCACACACTGGGAGCTTTAAGTGGATCTGCAAAATATTTGGCACTAATTATGACTAAATATGTTTTGTTTGTCTCTTAAAGATCTACAATGGTTGAGGGGGGCAGCTGGGGTCTCGGCGGTTGAGCATCTGCCTTGGGCCCAAAGTGTGACCCCGGGTCCTGGGATCGAGTCCAGCTTTCTGCGTGGAGCCTGCTTCTCCCTCTGCCTGTGTCTCTCCCTCTCTCTGTGTGTGTCGGTGATAAATAAATAAATGAAATATTTTTAATTGGGTTTCTATCATTACATTCTCTCGTAGAATTGTCGTTGGGCTTAAAACTTTGATGACGGGTGTTAAGAACCGCACAGCTGTCTCAGCGACCGGCACAAGGTAACGTCAACGTGCGGTGACGTCTCTGTCCCCGTCATCTCCCTCAGGACTTAGCACAGCTGGTCTCTTAAAAACCACACAACACCCTTGGTGGAGGCCACGGGAAAGGTCAGAAGGAATAACCCGTCTACCTCTCTGAGGTCCCAGGATAACTGAAATCTCACTTCGGGCTCAGGTTCAAGACACAAGCGTCACACTCTCATTTGATCAGTGAGGGGCGGTTTGAATGATGGAAAAACGGTGCGACCCACTGGAAACTTCCCGGAGGTGCAAGTTACGCTGAGACGAGACGGATTTCATTTAGACCTGGAGTCGTCCTGCGGTCATCTGTCATCCTGAACCTCGGGTTTCCCCACTGGGAGGTGGGTGGAAGCCCCTTAAGTCTCCCTCAGAGTCGCGTGAGGATCAACACGCTTCATTATATGGATGTTCCTATCGATGTGACTTACATTTTCACATTGGCGCTGTCCCTTGAGCAGGGGCGCAGCCCCGCGCGTGGGTAAGCTGTGGTTCATGCCACACCTTCACGAACTGAAAAGCACTCAGCAGCAATCACAGTCATTAGGGAAAACCGAACATACCATCCTCGTCTTCCTGACCTGGAAACAGGCTCAAAACATGAAGCGACTTGCCCAAGCCACACTCAAGGCCAAGTTCTTGAGCACACACTGCACTGACCGGCTGCCCTTTCAGAGAAAAACGCTAAAGCCAATCCCCACTGTGTTGAGTGAGACAGAAGGGTTGGCCTTCCACGGGCGTGACATGACTGGCCCTTCGAGAGGTTGCCTGACTGAAGCGGGTCATGAGACAGCGGTCGGGCCGGCCAGGTGACCGGGGTCACGGGTCTCTTTCCTGTTCTTTCCCCGACTGGGCCGAGCGGCCTCACCCCGCCGAGCTGGCCTCGAAGGCGGCCCTTCCAGCGTCAGCGGCCGCAGACGGAGGGCCAGCCCCAGGGCTCACGTGAGCCAACAGACCAAGGCCTGGGCCCTCATCGCTCGCCCACAGGCCAGGGTGGGGAGACGGCACAGCAGACCCACAGCAGGCGGGGCCGAGCCCTGGGGCTGTGGGGGGTCCTGACCCCTTCCCAGCAGGACCTGTGCAGAGACCTGGAGGGAGGCAGCAGAGCAGAGGACAAGCCTCCCCCCCCCCCCCCAGGAAGAAGCGTCACCGCTCGCACGCCCTTCCGAGTCCCACTGCAAATGGCCCAACGCCCGGCATTCACGCGTCCCGTGGGTCTGTTCTCCTGCCTCGGGACCTCCTTCCCCCGGCGGCGTCAGTGCCTCCCTCCCCCGACGGCTGCTGCTGCTGAGCCCGCTGTCAGCACCCACGGTGCCAGCCTCTCCCAAAGCCGGGCCCGGGCCCAGGGCGGGACGCTGCACCCGCAGCAGGAGCTGTGCTAACGGGAGAGGGGCCAGGGCGGGGAAGAGCAAACTTCACAAAGCGAAGAACAGTCTAGATATTTGTTTATGACTCAGATATTTAGGGGTTAGGTTCTGTGGGCAAAGCACTCAGTTTAAGGCTAGTTCCGGTCCTCCAGCAAGAAGAGATGACGCCCTTCACGAAGGAGGTAGGAGGGACTGTCGAGCTGTAACCCTGCCCGTCAACCAATCCATGTTATTGATCCTTGAATCAGACCCCTTTAAGGTGGCATGTGACTAGGGATCTAAGGTTGGGAGGCATAACGCTACTAAAGTTCATACCACCCCTTATAATTCGTAAAAAGATGTCAAAAAATAAACACCAGGCAAACTCGAGGAGCTACAGGGTTATTCTTTGTCTAGGAGTCGAGCTCCTCAAATCAAATCAAATCATCAAATCAAATAAGAACCTCAGCCGTCTGGGTCTGTCCATGCCTCACCCCCGACCACTCCCAACCCCCCTCATCGCCCATATCGCCCCTTGGTGAGAACACCTGGGCCCTGGGCCTGTCACGCCCTCAAATTTACCCAAGTATCTCAGATTAGCAGGAGTGTCCCTGATTTTGCATTATAAATTTTTTCCTTAATAAATACGTCAATTTTGGCTTTAAAGGAAAGAACGGTCACACAGTAATTCGTGTTTGCTTTCTTTGCAAAAATCTGGGATGAGGAAGTGAAAAGTGAGGGCTAACAACAAGGCACATCCAGAAAAATTTTGAGACTATAACAAGATGTCCAGAAAATACAGATAAATATACACGTGGATAATCGCCAAGTCATTTCAGTTTGGTTTGAAAGCAATGTGGGATCATTGGAAGCAAATCGATGCAGCCTGGAAACAGTGATCGAACCTGCAGATTTTCCCTGCACGACACATTCTGGCTCTTTGAACATCACCGAGGGACCAGCTTAAAGGAAAAGACTATTTCATGCGGCTCCGTCCAGGAGAACAAGGACAGACGGACGGCCTGCAAGTGCGGGGCCTGTGCTTTGCTGGTGGGGCCCCGGGGTGACCAGGCTCTGCTGGGGTCGGGGTCTGGGACCCCGAGGGGCCCGCACACCCAACGGCGGTGACCTGCGCAGTGGGGCCGCCCCTCGTCCTCCTGGCCCTCAGTGGCCCCCTGCACCCTCCCCACGCCCTCCATGCCACGGGGAGCCGAGAGCCCTGGGGACCTGGAGGGTCAGCCACAGGGACCTGGCACGTCCCCGGCTCCGCGGGACTGAGGGCCTCGGGGACTGTGTGGAGGCCGAGGGGGAGAGAGGTGACGTGGGGGCAGGCCTGTCCCCCGGATGCTGGCAGGTGGGCACCTGGAGGAACTTTCCCGTGGGTCAGTGGACAGGCAGGATGGGGGCGGGAGGGGGCAGGAGGGGTGAGGGGCAGGAGGGGGCTGGAGGGGGCAGGAGGGGTGGGAGGGGTGGCCTGACAGGGGGGTGGGGAGGCAAGGGCACGGGGCGTCCCGCAGCCCTTGGTGCACAGCTGGGCAGGGGCCTGCGGCCTTCCATGTCCCAGTTTGAGGGGGGCTTGGCGAGAGCATATCCAGGGGCTGCTCCCTCCTCAGGGGCTACTCCCTCCTCGGGGCTGCTCCCTCCTCAGGGGCTACTCCCTCCTCGGGGCTGCTCCCTCCTCAGGGGCTACTCCCTCCTCGGGGCTGCTCCCTCCTCAGGGGCTGCTCCCTCCTCGGGGCTGCTCCCTCCTCAGGGGCTACTCCCTCCTCGGGGCTGCTCCCTCCTCAGGGGCTACTCCCTCCTCGGGGCCCGGGAGCTGGCAGGAAGACCCCCCGCGGGCGGCTGTGGTCCTGACCCCGCGCCCCCGCCCCCCAGGTCCCCGCCTCCCCGCGGCCTGCCCTGTCTCGCGGCTCCGCGTCCACGCTCCTTACACGAGGATGGGAAACGGCACTTCCACCCCGGGACTTAAACTTTCGGGTTTTTGACGGTTTCTCCGAGTCCAGAGGCCGCGGGAATGATGTGCGTTGCGTCCGCCTCCGAGATCCCTGCTCCTCGGCACCGGGTCCCGGCGAGCCCGCCCTCGGGGACACCTGCCTGCAGCCCCCCCGCACCTGCCCCGCCGCACCTGCCCCGCCGCACCTGCCCCGCCGCCGCCTCACACCTTCCCTCCCAGAGCCGCCTCTGGGGGCCGCCTGCCCCGGGTCACGGGGGGCTGGTGGGCTCAGGGCGGGGCGGGCCACCCGCAGGCCCCCCGGAGGCCGGTCACCCCGAGACCGGGTCACCTGGAGGCCAGTCACCCCAAGACTGTCACCCCAAAGCCGTCACCCCGAGGACGGGTCACCCCGAGGCCGTCACACCGAGGTCGGGTCACCCCAAGGCCGCATCACCCCGGGGCTGTCACCCCAAGGCCCATCACCCAGAGGCCGGGTCATCCCAAGGCCATGACCCTGAGGCCAGGTCACCCCGAGGCCGGGTCACGTCGAGACTGGGTCACCCCAAAGCTGTTACCCCAAGGCCGGGTCACCCCGAGGCTGGGTCACCCCGAGGCCCCCCAAGGCCATCACCCCAAGGCCGGGTCACCCGGAAGCCATCACCCAGAGGCCCCATCACCCCGAGGTTGGGTCACCCCGAGGCCGGGTCACCCAGAGCCGGTCACCCCAAGGCTGTCACCCCAAGGCCATCACCCCGAGGCCGGGTCACCCCGAGGCCGAGTCACCCCGTGGCCGGGTCACCCCGAGGCTGCGCACTGCCCCCCGCCCCTCCTGCCTCTCATAACCCAGACACTGGGGCTTACTTTCTGCTGCGGCGTTTACCGGCGCCTGTGACAGAGTCGGAAATAAGAGCATTTTGCAGAATTTTCGGGCCTGCTTGAGGAGTGTGTGATGTAAATTTGAGGGGGACATAAACAGGGACAAAATGTTCTGCTTTCAGATCAAACTCGTTTTCTGCAGATAAGATGTAAGCACTTTACGCCTCAATTTTATGAGATTGTTGTGCCCAAGATTGCGAATCCGAGAAACCACCGAGGAGCCGGCACCGATGCAAGCACACGAGGGCTGGTTTACAAGCTCGAGCTTGGGTCCAAGTGCACCTGATTCAGCTGAGTTTTAAGGGCTGGTCTGGGGGACCTCCAGGAGGGGGGAGCAATTCCTCAAATTCCGTTTACATTTTGATATGGGGCCTTTGAGGGCATTGAGCTCTGTTCTCATTCTAATAGGGGCTTCCGCCGCAGGCTTGGGCTCAGTTTTTATTCGAATACGGGGCTTTCTAGGACGTCGAGCCGCAAGCTGTTTTCTTCCTGTAACTGAAGTAACGTAAATCTCAGCTCTTACTCCCAGGGGCCTGGGATGGCTGGACGTGCGCTAACGCTGACCTTAAGGTGGGATGGCCTTCATTCTCTCGGCCTCCACAAGATGTTTACAAAAAACATAGTAGCGGGAAACTGAAAAAGGAGCCAGTTGTGCGTAGGGAGCCTAAGGAAACAGCAGGGTGGGGGTGCGTGACCCGGTGCCTGGCTTTGTGACCTTTGTGACCTGCAGCTGGATGGCAGGGCCCTCGTGGCCCCGTGGGCGCTGCTTCCCCCGACCTGGCAGCGCTGGAGTGCGGGGGTGCAGGGGCGTCACAGAGGGCGCAGGCCCCCCCCCTTCCCCAGGACATGTAGCGCCCTGGTGGGGCCACCAGTGCCTGAGCCCGTGCGGGGAGCGCGGGGCGCACAGCGGCCCAAGGCCCCGCCAACCTTGGCCCCAAACCAGCGCCCGCACAGGGTCCCACACTGTAGGGCGCATTTTGCAGTTTCCTTTCAGAATTTAGGAGGTTCCAATGCAGATATTTGGGGTGCGGCATCCCGGAGGAGAGGATGGATAAAAGGAAACTGGGCAGAAAGAACAAAAGCCCAGAAGGGGCAGAGGAGAGGTGCATAGAAGGAAAACACAGTTAGATTTCAGAGCTGCCAAATACCTATAGATCCAGCGTCCCTGTCCCTACCCCCGAATTCTGAGGATTGAAAAAACATCACTGTACGAAAAGAAAAAGAAATCCCCTCACTCTTAGAGTTTTTGAAAAGCAAAGATAAATAAAAGAGGTTAGATCCTCATCTGAGCCCGATTTTCTGCAAAGCTGGCTGCATTAGATGCTAATCCTTCAGGCCTTAGGGGGTTGCCGCACCGTCTATGACCTCTAATCCCCTCTTATAGGTCCCCTAGAGTAAGGGACGCTGCGCGGCAGCCTGCATGGGACCCTGGCCACATCTGGTCCCAGGACCCTCTGCTCCGCATTGAAATAGAAGGATGGATAAACAATTTGGACTTTGTCTTATTCTCCCTTTGAAGGGTGCAAACTTATTACCCAAAGTGCTGAGCCCCTGACTCAATTAGTCTGCTAATGTGATTATATGCTAATCTGGGTTTTATTTTGCATCTGATTTTCATGTTATTTGCTTGATTTTAACATAAGCAGAAGCCCTCCTGTCTATGGTTCCCAGTTCCCAATAGGGATTCTTACACCCGACACCATCCAGGTGTCCTTTAATTTCCAGTAAGATAAGTCCAATGTGAGAACCTGTGTAGGAATACCGGTCCAGCTCTCCTTTTTGACATTTTATGAAGCCTCACAGTATTCTTGGTTTAGTCCCTGACACGGATGTATTCCATGAAAGAAGAAAAAAAAGTTATAGCCACTCAAAAAAAATGTTTCTCCAAAGAAATCTGGATACATGGGAATGAATTATAAGCGACTTTTATATGTTTGATTTTGCGTCTCTGTTGTTCATGATTTTTGAAAATAATAGCTGTACATACAGCAAATATTTATATGGCACTTTCTTTACCACACAGTATGTTGCAAAAGATCTTTGAAGAAGAGAAAATTATTATGCATGTGTTTGTAATAAATTTATTTTTTTATTTTCGAGTAGCCAAATACCCGACGTGGGGCTCAGACTGACAACTCTGAGAACAGGAGACACATGCTCTACAGACTGAGCCAGCCAAGCGCCCCTATTATTCCTGTTTTAAAGATAAGGAAACCGAGGCACAAGGAAATCCTGTATGCCCAAGATCACATTACTGGTGAGAGGTGGAGCTGGGATAAAGGATGCTCTTATTATTTGTTTAGTAAAAATTAAAAATAAAAAAATATAAAGAATGCTACCACATTGCCGTAAAGATGGATGAATGCTGAGACAGTTTTAACTAAGTTTATATAGAATTTCAGGAAAGCCATATATCGCTGTGGGACTGCCCAGACCTATACTTTAGATTATAATGTCTCAAGTAAGAATAATTATAGTTGGGTCAGGAGCAAGAAAAGAGCAAATGGCATAAAAAAAAAAGAAAAGAAAAGAAAAAGAAAAAAAACCACTCCACTTTTATATCTCACTTAGTTTTGTGATTAGCTTGCTCGTTGTTCCCTTTGGAAAGGGGAGTTAGGCGAGTCTGGTCAGGGGGCCGGGGGGGGGCATCCTTCTCCGGTGCACGCCTGTGCCCCTCGAAAGCCTCTGTCAGGGCCTAGGACCCGCTAACTGAACATGGGCTCTGCGCAGGGCTGCAAAGGTCAGTACAAATAACAATAGCAGACCTGGAGGTTCAAAAGTTTATGGCATAGAGAAGATAAGGGGAAACTGTGCAAACGTCCCTAACCCAAGGCCAAACATGACAGATTTCCTTGGGAGCATCCAACGTGTAAAGGCGGCTCCGGACAGACAGACCACAGCCCCAGGGCGGAAGCCGGGCTCTGGGACCCAGACAACTTTGGGCTCCACGGGGACAAGGGAAGACCGAAGCCGTGCAGGGACCCTGACAGGACGTCTGTCCTCCAATGCAGAGGCCAGTACTCCCTTGGGGAGAGAAGGAAGGCGGGAGAGAGGGGAGGATGCGGGAGTCCCCGACAGAGAAGAAAAGTCAGAACGACGCTGCAGATGCCTGGGCTCTGCCCAGGAAATGAGGGTAAGAAAATCAAAGAAAAATATCTCTTCCCTATGGCCCAGTCCTGGGGGGGAAAAAAAAAAGACAAAATCTAAAAAGTGAATACTTTTTTCCTTTAAAAAAAAAATCGTCGTTCTTTCCGCATTGTGCTCGGTAAGCTGCTGCCGGCCCCACGGCCGACCTTGCTAGCACAGATGGGGCCTTTCAACCTAGCGGGAGTTTCTATTCTCCCGCTAGCACCAGACTCCAGCCAACAAAAAACTCCCCTCCGATTGTAATTGAATCCACACTTTTATAGTTCATTACCTCTGTGATAGATTAGATTAGATTAGGCTGAAGCTATGGCCAGCCAAGCCATGGCCAGCCCAGCCCTTGGCCCGGATGGAGCACAGAGCACAGAAAAGGCGGAGGGCTGAGGCAGGAAGCAGGCACCTGACGCACGACCTGCTTTGCCTCCCAGCCACTGACACCTTTCTCTCCCGTCCAATCCCCCCCAGGCTCCCTCACACCACTGCCCAACACACACATATCGGCCCTGGAGGGATTAAAGGCTGAGACTCTGTAAAATCAGGGATTGAAAGAGATGCACAGAACCCAGAGATCATCTAGCCGTAACGATTTTGTTTTATAAATGAGAAAATTGAAGCACAGATTTAAAAAAAAAAACAAAAACAACAACAAAAAAAAAACCTCCCCAAAGTCAAATAACGGAGAACCCAGGTAGGATGGTCATGGAAATGCACTACCGAGGTCTTCTGGAGGAGAGCCTGCTGCAGGGGACATAGCTGACTAGCAGCCCCAGCTTCCAGCCCTCGGCGTCCCCCATCGTCGTGCAAGCCACATGGCCATAGTACTCCCAGTTAGTGAGGAAGCCCGGCACAGGTCCCACAACGTGCAGGACTCCCCCAACAGACGATTTGGGCTTAGAGACTCCCCACCGACCTTGCTGCAACTTTCCTAGACTGTGCTTCAGTCTGCGTTTCTTCCTGCAAGACCCTACTTCCCTCCCTCTCCTTCCCCGGCCTGAGGAATTTCCCTTCCCGCTCATGTCCCCTCTCCTTTATCCTTCACAGCCACTTGTCTCTTCAAAATCCTTTTCTTGTTTAATCATATCTTGGCATCTTCTTCTCAAAGATCCCAAACTAACATACTTGGCCTCTTGCCTTACTCATCTTGGATGATACCCTCTTCCCCACACAAACATAAATATGTATTTACTCAGTACATAAATATGTCTCAGTTGACATAAGAAGTCCCCTCTATATACTTGTTTGAAAATCATCTTTGTTTCTTTTTTTTTAAGATTTTATTTATTTATTCATGATAGACACAGAGAGAGAGAGAGAGAGAGAGAGACAGAGACACAGGCAGAGGGAGAAGCAGGCTCCATGCAGGAAGCCTGACGTGGGACTCCATCACCGGTCTCCAGGATAAGGCCCTAGACTGAAGGCGGCGCCAAACCACGGACCATCTTTGTTTCTTTTATATGTTGTTTCTTAGAGTAAAATTTTCTAGACTTGTGATGGTCTTTATCTTGTTCTCATTTCTCAGGGTCACATGTGGGGTAACCTCGAATAAGTCCTCCCTAGACACGGGTGGAAGGACGGCTATGAAAGACTTAGGTTATGCAAGAGTGTTGTTCAGAACTCTTCTTGGGCTCTTTTCTGGGGCCATTTCAGTCTGCCCATTCCATCCCTTTGAACTCCGTGTTAACACATACTGTCTCCCAAAGAACACTGCCCTGATTGCAATTATTGGAGGGATTGGGACAGAATTTAAAGAAAGGATTATTCCCGTACAAATTCTGATTAAAGAGGCTCCCTCAACCTCAGCTGAAAAGATTAACAACTGCCCAATCTCCTACAGCCAGCAAGTCTTCGTAAATAACTCCCCATCTCTCTCCCGTGAGTTTATCTGCCAAGGATTAAACGGAGAGGCTGCTCCCAAAAAT